CAATTAATTTCAAATTAAAATTTTAATCAATTGTCAATGTCAATCAATTGCTTTCCATCTTTCATTAGTCCAGAGTTGTAACTAAACCTCCACTGCAAGACTAGGTAGTCATTATCTTGTTTTAAGTGCGCCTATGAGGTGTGCCATATATTGTCTGATCTGGGCCCCACGTAGGTTCATTTTGTTCATGTAAATATGAATGTTTGTTCACGGGAGCTGCATTTTATAAATACTGTTGTCCTTTGGCATTTATCAAACATATCAAACCAATTCTTGCTCCCTCTTGGGTTTTCACATTATATACAATGCTGACCTAAAAGGAAAAAAAACAACACCCAAATTTAGCATATTTGCAAGTTGCTAATGCTAATAAAATTTAGTAGCACCAGCTCCAAAAATAGTCACAAAATGGGACTAAATGGTCCCAGTCTGGAGCCCTGCAAATACATAACACACAGCTACTCAACTTCTCATTTACTCAATGTACTACATTCTCATATGTGTCATTGTCTATGCTGGGGTGTGTTCATGCATGATCATCCTCTTATTCACAGTTCATCAAAATATTAACATATACTGTACCTTAATCCCAGGTTATTGCTACTCGCTGGTTGTTCTGGTATGGATTAGGTATTAAGGCAGGCAGATCCATACAGATTCACATCATACCCATCTTTCTTGATGATGATGATGATTTCCCTCTGGATAAATAGAGAAATTTGTTTGCATCTGTCACCAGATGAAAATTAGTTATTAAAAATTATAGTATATATGTATATAACAACTAATGGTCATTAGTCAGTAGTTGATGGTTAACAGAATGATAAAACCTTATTAACAGACAAGTTCTGTCTTTTACACATGCTTATGGATTTTAAGCTCACAGCAAAGACATACGTACAATATGTCTTCAGTCGAAAGGAGCAAACAGAAGGCCCAAATCAAATGTTCACCATCCAGTAATAATGTTCAAAGGATATTTTTTCCACCCTCATTTTCTGAAAATGTCTGTTTGCAGGAAACAGTGATTTATTTGGTCTCCTTTTAAGTCTGTCAGCATGCCTGTGCAGGTGCTGTCTCTGTTGGAACACACATGTACACACGCAGTTAAATCAGTTAAAAAAAGAAAGAAAGATGAGAGGGAGTTATAGTGGAAGGAACAAAGAAAACGCCCAGAGATAGATAGGGATGGAAGCAAAAGTATAAGGAAGGATAATGCAAAGGAGGGAAGAAAAGAGCACAGAAGAAGAGTGTCTGCAAAAATGGAAACACCCTGAGCAATGTGTCAGTGCCATGACTTCTAAGGCACTGCCACATTTCTAAGGAAATGATCAGTCAGCACTGTTTTACTGTGCAGGGCTCATAACTGACAGAGCTGAAATGCAAATACTGCCCATTAAGCCTACAGGACACTCTGTTCCCAGCATTTTCAACTGTATATTGCTGATTCTGAAAACCCAGGTGGTTTATGCTCTGCAGCACTGTTTCCTGAATTGCTGCCTGTAGTTCCTTACATGACAAGATCACTGGCAATATGTGCAGAATGCACTGAAGATGAATTGTACATAAATCAGAACACTTCAGGAGAAACATTAGGTAGTGTTGTTGTACTTGAACGGTCTTGGTCTTGAGACCGGTCTTAAGACCACTTTTTGATGTCTTGTCTTGGACTCAGTTTTGTCTCGGTCTCGGACATTGAGGACTCGGGATTTTATTTCAAGGCCATAACTTTGGGAATATCAGTAAATTCCGTTTGCAATGTCAAAATTATTTGTTAACATCCTAACTTTGATAGGATGTAAAACGTGTTGCTTCAAATACAACCAATAACCCTAAATAAAAATGTGTTGTTACCGTTAACGACTGTCTCCACGATGGTAAGCATGGAAAAGTTGAATAAAGATATACATTAATTTCAGCTCTTAGGGTTTGTTTGTGGGTGTTTTAATGGGCTCTTTCAGATCAGTTTGAGAAGTGCCTATGATCTTGTTCCACATTTCATTTTGTGTCACGGGGTGGTGATGGTGCAATGGATGAGACACATGCCTTTGGTGTGAGAGACCCAGGTTCAATCAATGTAAATGTATCAATGTAAATGTCATGTAATGTGGGGAACTGGTCTTGGTCTCAGCCCCTAAAAGTCTTGGTCTTGTCTCGGTCTCGATAAACTCTGGTCTTGGTGTTGACTTGGTCTCGGTTTGGGCGGTCTTGACTACAACACTAGCCACACTAACAACAAAGTATTGACTTTGTCCATCTACACCATGTACATGTAAAAATAAATGTACGTGTATCCAACCATGGAGCGTAGCATAGTATATTTGTCAAAAAGAGATTGTCAAGATACTCGTCCATGAGAGACAAGTGAGAGAGATTTCTCTCTAAGTCAGTCATGAGTAGGTTTTATTCATGCCTGCAGTACTTTCAACAAAGTTCTCTTCTTTCTCCTTCTTTGAGTCAACAACATTCTTTAAAAACAAATTACTTTCTGTCATTATATTTCTGTCAGTAAATTTCTTTTGGGAGACCTTGTTGTAGTATTTGATTTTCTGATGCCCTGAATAGACTGTTTTCTGTAAGCATTTGAATTGTATCCTGTATAGCCTTGTGTTTTTTTCCTTTCATTCAGTTTTCTCTTTTGTAAGGACGGGAGTCCTTATAGTTGTCACTATCCTCTTAGCCAAAGTGCTAAAACTGAAGTGGCTCAGGAACCTTGAGATTGTAATTAAATGGTGAACTGCACTAACAGAAAGCATGAAAAAATATGAAAGCGCAAAACATGATTGAATTGGGATCTTGATGAATAGAAGCATATTGTATGACAGAGACAGCTTTACGATGACCCTGAGGGTCAAAACACAACATTGTTTCACAGAACATAACAACATTTTACAAAACACAACATTTCTGTAAACGTCATTTTACAAAACAAGAAAAAAACAACTAATTTTGCAAAACAGCAACATTTCTCAAATAAAACAAAATTTCACAAAACACAATAACATTTTACAAAAATGGCATTTCAGATTACGGCGACAGTTCAATGTAATGTCCAGTTTCTGTTGTGTATTACGGTACTCTCAGCAGTGTCCTTGCACAAATTTTAAACTGAGTTTAAAAGGATGGAAGAGGAGATTGAAAGGGAATATCATAAAAGAGGTCGGTCAAATTATGTAATTCTACTCTAGCTATCAGCAGGTCATTCTTATCAGAGCAGTGTGAACCTAGACTATGTGGTTGACTTTAAAGCAGAAACATGGCCTCTGTGTTAAAAATGGGACAGTAGTGCGAATGCTTCGTGAACTGAACCCACACGTAACCTTGTCGCGGACACGTCATAAGTATATTAAATGCGCGTTCTATTCTGTTCTGAACGACAGACTACAGGGAAGAAGCCAGAGCAGGAAATTGAATTTTCAAGGCGGAGCTTTTTCAGTTAAGCCAAAGGCCTAAATGATTGGCCAATTAGCCATCTAAGCAACTTCTGTCTAGCTTACAAGAGCGTCATCACTTGCCTGAGACTGAAACAACAGCATATGGAATTAGTGTGTCAAAAATGTGGTTCTTACAGCTCAGTTGAAGCAAATAACAATATTCTAGCAGAACAATATGAGAAAGGGGTCGCAATAAATTTTACCCTTGAATATGTGAGTGTAAGAGGGTCAGTGTTTCCCACAGGATTTTAAGAGACTATGGTGGGGGGGGGGCATGCCACCCCAGAAGAAACTTTTGTACATTTTAAAGTTGAATGCAGTAATTTGATACAAAATTAAGAGGCTATCGATGAAGAACTTTGCCCTATTGTAAACAGTGTTGTGCTATAGAAAACTATTTAATCATAAACCCATTTCATAGCTATAAACAAAAGTCAGCAAATTTATTTAATGTTTTTCCGTCAACAAAAAATAAAGATTAGAAAACAGAATAAGTAATTTCCCTATTTTATTGTTGTTGTTTTTTACTTTTAATGGATACATGTATTATGTTTTTATACTTTTAGTGAATATAATGCAATAAATCTTTCTGTATAGACACCTTATTTTGAAAACCAGGCGTTGTCACATGTGTATCCTTTCACTAAATTCATCAAGGCCGACCCGATTTGATAAATTATGTTGTATGTGGTTCTCGTATTTCATAACATGAAGACTTAATAGCCTCTTTTCAGTTAGGACTTACATACTGCAACACTTGTCTTTGTAAAGAGAGAAAATTACAGGATGAAGTCGCTAACCTGCCTGTCAGCTCGCACTAGTCCGTTTCAGTTTGGGCACAGCTAGCTCAACTCACAAACGAGTGACAGAAATAGACCTTTAACGTTACTGTAGTTACCTCAAAAGAAAAGTGTTTGTCTCGAGTCTGATGCAAAAGTGTGTGAGCGTGCGAGCTGACAGGAGCGCGGAGCAGCGCCCACAAAACAAAACGTTAGAGGTCTGAAATGTTGTTATGTGTAAAAATATTTTCAGTTAATTTTGAAACTATGGCGGCCGCCATGGTCCTGTAAATTAATGGTAAACACTGAGGGGTTCCAATCTGTAAAATAAATCAAAACTTTTTTGCCGGCAAAAATATCTTACAGAAAAATATAAATCTTACAAATGACAAAATACAAATATCATACCGCTCTATCAGTTGTTTTTAAGTGAAATCATACCGCTTTTGACTGAAAAGCACATCAATGGCAAGTGTAAAAAAGACCAAAGCCACTTTTGACTAGTGTAATCCGACTGAACCAACCAGAAAGAGATGCGGAGATAGAGATGGAAGGTCCGAAATGATTGCCAGGGATGTTTATCTTGTTGTTTTTTTGGGGTTATGGTGAGCATATGGCTTAGGACATGCACAGATGGCCGCGTCTACAGATAAAAACACATTTGCGCAAAAGATGCATGAAAGGCCAATTTTTCATTAGTTAATAAGCTTGTATGTGGTTGTAATTTGTTGACTGAGCAAATACAGTTTAATAATTTGTCTTTCTCTCTCTCTCACTCTATGTGTAGGTAGGGGAGAGGCAACATGTGTTGGTGACAGAGGAGTCATTTGATGCACAATACTATGTGGCTCACAACAAGTTCTACGAACAGGTAAGGTAATTGGTAAAATACAAAAATAAATGACCTAGGTGCATTCTCCATAGGGCATATGTGGATCTCACCACCACATTTTACTTTGTGGACTGATAGCACATTCACAGACAACCACACATTTTGACCACATCAGTTTCACATATACTAAAAATCTATTCAGTATATTTAAATTTCCCCAAAAAGAAACTTTTGAAAATTACCGTAGTACTGATAGTGCTTCAGTTATATTTACTCAACATATTTAACTTAAAAGATACTGGTAATAACTAATACTTTCATTGTTTGTTGTCCTACATTTGGTAATCAAGGTAAGTTGCACTGGCTTTTCAGATATCAGCGTCTGCTGAAGCACAATTCAGCACGCTGGATGTTTGTTGACATTGAATGAATCCTAAAATAGTTTAGCTGGCTTGCACTCTTTATCCACCATTAAAACATACAGTGAAAAAGCCATAAATTAATCTGCATTTTATAAAAATTTTTCCGTATGTGAAGCTAATCCAACGCTTCCTCATTTTCACACTTAGCAAATAAGATCAGAAGCTTTGCTTTGCATGTCACAGGAGTACTCACAGCAGGTGTCAGAAGCTTAAGCTTGTATTGACTAAAGTAGGTTAGCTATAATATCATACATACTCACAAATACACACACACACCCTGCGGTGGTCATGAGAGCAATTGGCGGCCGATAGCGGCAGTACTTTTTGCTTTTTTTACTGTACTAACATTAAGGTCAGCCCTAAAGACATGAGCATTCCATCCAACACACACAGCTGTTCACGTACACACACATCCGCGCGGCTTCAAAGACCCTCTCTCAACCTGTGAAAAATTCACTTTAAAACATCTTAAAATAAATCAATTTCCTCCTGCTTTAACCATCATCAGAAACATGTTTGAAGTTATGCTTTTTATTAGCAGGGAGGGCAGGGGATGGTAATAATTTTTCCTCCCTTCCACTTTCCTCTCCTCCTCCTCGTCCTCCTTTGCACCTCCTTCTGCAGGCTATAAACTTAAGTTACAAGTGTCACTTAGTTCATGTGTGTGTGAGTGCACACTCCTTCATGTATGTGTGCATTTGTGCATATGCAGGCTTGTATTTCATGTGTATGGGACTCAAGAGGAGAGCATGTTGACGTGTTTGATGTTTTCCCTGTCCATTTTTTTTTGGACATTAGGTATTTGGCATGTACTCCTAAATCACTCTTTGACTTTGAAAAAATAACTTGAAAAGCTATGTACCAATATTTTCCTGATTCTGTCCCCCCCAAGGGATCCCTATATCATGTATACTGTATGTCTATATCCACGGGACACACAGACACATACAGAACATGAGCTTGTATACACATTACAAAGGTCTGACCAACAGTGCAAGTTGTCTTTTGAGAACCTCCTGTCATTCTAGCTCACTGGTATGATTATTCAAGGAACTAAAAGTATTTGTTTTTTGGTGCTGTATTGTAATCACAAAGGTTAAACTTGACCGTACATCACTGTGGATAACTGCATCTTAAATATTTTATAAAAAAAGAAAGTATGTAGAGTTCAGTGCAGTTGGGGGGTTTGGGTGGTTGAGGGAGAAAAATGGTCGTAAGGTCTTGGTCAGGAAAGAAGTGAAAAGAGTAGTAGCAAAAAAGAGGACAGAAAGAGGTGGAGAGGGGTGGGAAGTGGGGAATAAGGTAGAGAGAGGTGTGAGTGTGAACAAATGGCCTAGTTTCAATTTTACACCATCAGATGGATATCTATCTTGACGGGTATAATAGGCACCCAACCCACCTGTGTGTGTGTGTGTGTGTCTGTTAGTTGCTGAGTGAGGAAGTAGGATGGGGGGGTTTCCAATGAAATCGGACAAGCTCTTTCATCATTTAATCACCCTGTAATGGGCCTTGAATGACCCTCACCTACACACTCACACCTCTCTGCTCCCAGCCTGGTTGCTGGCTGCTTAGACACACATACACACACAAACACACACACACACACACCCTCGCAGTGGTCAGAATGTCTAGTAGCAGGTGTGTTGATGAGGCAGGCGTGGCGCTGGCTGTGTGTCTTTCTGGCCTGTTCTCCATCTCCTATCGTATTCCACCAGCTGGATAAAGACTGACAGATTAACACTGTGCCAGGCTTTCTCCCGCCATCACAGCAGTAACACTACCTACACCAGTTCAAATGCTATTGTCTGCCCAGTCAGTAGCTTAGCCCTACAGAGTCATGTAATGGTTAGACAGACCACCAGATGATCCCAGTCAGCAAGCAACCACCCTGCTGAAGTGTACTTGGGCAAGACATTCCCAGCAGGTCCAAGGTTACTGTTCTGCTGCTCATCCTAGCCTCTGATCTATGCGTGGAAAGATGCAAAAAGACAGGGATAAATAAATTGTCACATTATTAGGGCCCAAGCATGAAACATGGAACTGCCAATCTTTCTGCCAATGGAGCGTATTTTTGTCCCACGAAAATGTACGTGTTATGTGTTTTTGTGCATGGGCATGGTAAAATGTCTGATTAGCCTAAAGTCCAGCCCCCGGACCCTGTTTCTCCGAAATGTCCGAAATTTTTGTGGCACATATATCATGTCCGGTTGGAACAATGCCCTAAACCCAACACTAAGCCCACCATTTTGTATTTTATTTTAATTTTGAGATTTACAGGTTCCGTACACAACAAAGAATTGGCAGCCGTTCTTTAGCACCACATAGGATACATGAAGTGATGTTTAACTGCTTTTTGAGGAATTAAAAACACAGGATAATTCAGAGCCATGCTGATGACCTCTGGCAACTGCACCGTGGCCACAGTATGCTCTAACGTGCATCACGACGTGAGGGCCTGTCCAACGCTGCTTGCAGCTTTAATTGTCATTATTAGTAAAATATACACATATTGTCTTTAAACTTGTGTAATAATTGAATTACTGTTTCCTAAGGAAATTGTCAGTGTAGTGTCAGATGGTTTTCCATAAATGCTAAGCTGTGTTCATGTCTGTTTATTCAGAAAGGATAGCATCACTTTTCAAACCCTACAGTGAGCACTCATGTACAGGGAGCCTTTTTCTTTTCTTGGGAAGTAGAATAAATCGTAGAATGTTTACAAAGAAAGCCCTTACTGAAGTTTTGATTATAATTTACACAAGCTCTTATGACTAGTTTTAGATCCTGCCCATATTCACAACACCATTCATTCTATTAGTGTTTACCAGAACGATTGAATCTGAAAGAAAGAGCTGAAGAAAAGAAGTAAATCAGTACTCTAACCGAAATCAATCAGTCTGTCAACTTTGTGGTTAGTTTGAAAATAGTTTTGAAAGAAAAAGCATTTGCATATGATCTTTATTTACAGGGGTAAGTCATTAAGAACAAATTCCATTTCACACTAAGCCGTAATTATAACTCTTTGTTTTCTCTTCCTTCCTGCTGTGATCAGCTGAGATTTATGGTTGCCATGGTGAAATAATAAGACAAACCAGCATATCCCAGTGGTTCATCTCACAGCTCTTGCTGTAGTTTTTGACCTTGAGGGCTTCCATAAATGGAACTGAAAACATTCCTGTGTGTTTTGGGTTTTTTTTCTGTGCGCAGGCAGGGACTAGCTAAATAACAATGTGGGGGAGTATTGGGGAAAACAGTTTTGAACAGCGGCTAATTGACAGATGTGGAGAAACATGCAGAGGGTTTATTAATTGTTGGATCGGATGTTTATATAGGTATACCTGTCTAGGTGAATGACAGCAAGTTGCTGGAATTATCTCTCTGGTTACTACTATGCAGTCACTAAATAACACGTTACTTTTGTCCTGTACCTCATAAACCTTATAACTTATTATCCATTGTGCTCTATTTCTGAAGATTTGTCAATGTGATTTGATTTATTGTATAGCTTTTGCAGTGTAGGTTTATTTCCACTGTTGCTGCTGCAATGAATGCGATCACAAATGTTCAATAATGTTTCATTGTGCTTCTTTCTCAGAGCTTTTTAAATGTGCAGTGATGTAATGATGAATCTCTCCTCATGTGCAGGTGCTAGTACCTAAGAGGGTAGAGTTCAAAGGGAAGATGATTGAGGTGTACATCTACGAGGCAGGAAAACACTTCCTGAAAGGCCAACCAATAGAAGACAGTAAGCCATTCACTCCCTCTATTGCTGCACCACTTCAGAAAGGAGAGGTGTCTGGCCTGATGCAGGTAAACACACACAAATACATGCATATCTGCATACAGACATAGTTGAATGCTCTTGAATCATATTTCTTCCTGATTCATTACTACAGCACTGTAAATCAAAACAAATGCACAGTGAGTCAAACAAATCCGTGTATGTAAACACATCATGGCTGTACTGTGAGAAGAATACAACACAACAAATGATTTTAATTATAGTGAACTATACTTTCATGAGAATAACCTTAAAATAGAGTTTACAAAGTAGCTGGCATAAAACAGAAGAAATTGCACACCATATGTACTGGAAAAAAATAGACAGCCTGGAGGTAAACATAATTTCAGTAATAAATAAATAAAAATAATATGTAAATCATGTCAAGTATCTTGAATGGAAAGGATCCTGAGGAATGCAGGTACACGGGTTCAAAACACTTTTCAAACACTCAGCATTTACACTATACCGTGCATTTATTCAGTAGATATGAGTATTTATTTCTCTGAAACAATCTGATCTGGATAAATGGTCAGTGAGCCAATAAAAACATAACTGATAATCTTAATCTTAATTGTAGTTTGAAGTCCATTTGATGCAATTTGATTCAGCTGCAAATTCATATCCATTCACCTCAGATTAAAACATTCTTTTTGCATAAATGAAAGTCTACACGTTTTGATGTTTTAACTGGTTTTAAAAAATGAAATATACATTTTGCTTGTATTTGTATTGAATTAGCAGCTATGAGTCACTGTGATTTTTTTTGCTGTGGCAGAAATAAGTCCCAAGAGAAAATGCAGTCAATCATCTGATTGCTCTAATTACTCTGCTGCAGCTTCCAACTACAAAACTACAAAATGTATTTTGGGATACCTCCAGTTTTAGGCTACTTTAAGCCTGACTTCTAGCTGCTAACTAGTCTGGACCAACTCAGCTGTGAAGAGTAGTATTCGGCGTAATAAATAAAAAGGATTTTGAATTTTTTTTCTTGTGGCTGAAAACACAACACACAGCCTTTTAGTAACAATTATACTGCAACTTGAGCTTATCTACACATTTTATGGCTGACTAAAATAACTTAACTACCCCCCACACACAGAGAAAGACTCACTTTCACAACAAACCCGATACTCCGTCACACACACAGATTACCCACAAAGCCTTCCTTGAAGGGGAAGGTGCCCCCGGTTACACACAGGTGAGGTGCAGTTAGGCTGTGGGTGTGATAACCAGAGGAGAAAGAAGTTTTCAGATCCATTACTTAAGCAAAAGTACTAATACCAACCTCACTTTGAAAATACTCCACTACAAGTGAAAGTAAACTTATTACGGTAAAAGTATTATAGCAAAATTGAAGTAATCATTTTGCATTAAAATGGTCCCTGTCAGCATTTTACTATTATATATGACGTATTTGTATTAATATTACTGCTGTATTAATGTGGATGTTGCATTTTACTGCTGTGGATATTTAAGATTAAGCTCATTTTAACTACTTTATACACTGTTGGGTAGTTTAATCTATGGCAGTGCCTCTTATTCTACAAGATAATAAAGTTAAAATGATGTTTGCACTGTTTGAGAATGTACAGTATGTTATATAAGACAAAATGTCAATCAAGTTATATATATATATATATATATATATATATATATATATAACTTCACAGTGAGTACCCAAGTCCCAAGCTCACTAACATATGTTTGACTCTTGGATCAATTTGTTGCATGTCTAAGTAAGTATTAAGTAATTTTGTCTTGATGATATTAGTTCAGTGCAGGCTATATTTCGCAACTTTAAATCAGTTGCCTATGTAGTGTGTGTATGTGAGTGTACATGTGTTGACCAGATACAGTACATGTATTCAACAGAACGCATACTCTCATCTTCAGGTAATGAGAGGACCTAACCTACATCTGTCAAGCTGTCATGTGTTCTTTCCTTTTCAAAACTATAAAAGTTGAGTTTACAACAGGCTATTCAAATTTTGTTCAGTCAGCAAATAAATGAGGTGTGTGTCTGTGCTTGCGTGCGTGCGTCTGTCTGTCTGTCTGTCTGTCTGTCTGTCTGTCTGTCTGTCTGTCTGTCTGTCCACATTTTTTTAATCCATGCTCGCTTCTACAGTTTGTGGAAAAGCACCAGTGTACCAGGCGTGAGATAAGTAATTTAAGATAAGCTGCGGCTTGCTAAACTGTCCTCTGTATTCCTTTCCACCACATACACACAAAGACACACGCCAGATACTCACACACACACACACACACACACACACACACACACACACACACACACACACCATGTTAATGTATCTGTTTCACTGCATGTTATTTTTCACTCTGACCAGCTGTAGCTTATAGCTCAGGACATGGAGCCACAGAGCAGAATATGATACGCTTTCTAATTTCACACTCCATCAGCCTTTACTACTAGACAGAGAGGGAGGGGACTAAAGGAACAGAGACATGGGTGGTGTTGGGGGGGGGGGGGGCACTGACGAAGAGGAAAGCAAGCAGAGCGAGAATTGGATGGCAGAGAATGAGATAAAAAGAAAGTAAGAGAAAGCGACACGTCACTTGGCAATGAAAAGTTCAGCAGTGAGGACTAGACCTTGTAAAGCTAGTTGTCTCATAAAGTCTGCAGCCTATCCAACACACACTTGCATTTGCACTAGTTCTATATTCTTTGACATTCTTACGAAACATGCCCAGGCCCTTCATTTGTCTGGGATTGATGTAACAACACATGCACTCTTGCACATGAAAATTGACGTAAAGTCATGATTTCCACCTTCAATTGGCTCTACCAGACAATTTATGTAAAGATCTAAAAGGTGACAGAGTGAGAAAAGAGTGAGTGAGTATTTGCTCTTCATTTTTTTAGAATGGCAATAGCTGAATAGGACACATTATCAGTTTGTGTCTGTTTTACACTATGTGAACAACTATGTGCTTTGTGGTTTTGAGGGGTATGTATTTAATATGGCTATTTGTGTAAATGGGTAAAGAGTTAGTGGTGTACTGGTTTAGACTACCATAAGACTGGCAACCACTGCAAAAGAAATTCATAGCAACAGCAACAAAGGAGAGTTAAACTAAACATGCAAGTTTCTAAGGTATGGTTTAAAATGCAATACGGTCTAGAGCCGCAATAAAATCATTAATGCTTGTCTCTGCTGTCTACAGCATTTTGGCAATTAACGTATTGTTACATTAAGTGATCTCCAGTGATGGTGCCAGTGATCTGTAATGCATAGTCCTTATAACTTGCATTGTTGGCTCTAAATGACAGCAGAGTGGCACTAGAGCACAGTGCTAATAGATAAGTAACCTAATGGGTTGGAAACACAGCTGTATCTGCAGGCTACACACACAGACACGCTTACAATACTGCCCTCTTGTATTTGTGATGTCCTTGACAGTCATGTGTCCGGTCTCTGGATTCATCATCATTAATATGTTGAACAGATCGGATTATATATACGCATGCACACGCATGCATTCATTACAATCTGACACTAGCATACCCGTGTATACACACAAATCTAGGATATACATTTGTGCACACACACTGGTGGATGGCCTATACATATTATACAAGACCATCTATTTTCTGTGAGTCTCTGCGGGGGTCAACCACACACTGAGCAGAATGTGTATGTGTGTGAGATGAATGAGTAATTAGGCAAAAGCCGATAGATGCTCACCCCCATGTCTTGCAGCACATTCTATAATTACAGGCTTTTGGCAGAGAGCAAGGGAAAAATAGAAGTATAAAGGATCGGGAGGAGAGAGATTGTGTGATGAGGTCCACGATAGCTAGATAGGATGGAGTCCGAGCTTTGTCGCTTCATCTAAGATGCAGAGGAGTGTCGTAAGAGAAAGTGAGAAATAGAAAAACAGTGGTAGATAAGTGGGTGAATGGCTAGGCAGAGGAACCCACTGAGGTCTGTAATGTCAAGAAAGGAACAAAGTGTGAGAGCTATCATTTCAGAGATGGAGAGAGATGATTGCACACCAGCCAGCATCCATACTGATGAGTGTGGGAATGAAGCAATATGGCTGGATGGATGGAGTTATAAAGCAGTGGCGTGTGAAAGCTTGTGTGGATGAAAGGACCTGAAAAGTGGACAGACAGATATGGATGCATGGATGTGAGATGCGATTGCTTAGATGAACAGTTAATGGATGAACAGATGCCTGGAAGTGTGAATGTATCGACATGTATAGGAATTATGGATGACTATTGAGGATGGATTCATGGTTCATCTAATGGTACACTGCTCCTTGTCCATGTGCCGAGAGGGGGAGGAACATATCAAACCCAACATGCAACTCCTGATTTATTTAATCAGATATTAATTGGAAGTTTCGGGTTTTACTGTCTAAAGTTTGTCAAGCTGCTGTACCACCATTTTTAAATCAAGTATTTTCTTGTTATTGGTGAAAGTAATTACCAACTAAGGTAACACTACCTCTGATCGGCCGACTTCACACGCTTGCCTGGATTACATTCCTTGTTTTCCACCAAGACTAAGCTAAGGAACATCTTTTCTGTGTGGATGGGGTTTTTTCTGTTTACTGAAGGTTAGGTTTTAGGTGCCTCGGGTCCTCACAAATCCCTGAAAACATCCTGGTCAGATGAACTAAAGACTAGAATCGGCCACTAGGAATGTATGTTTATGTGGTCACATAGTAATGAACTGGCAATCTGTCCGTGGTGTCTCCCTGCCTTTCTGATGTATGATGATCCCTTGAACTGGATGTCATCTCTTCCTCTGTTCTCTCTTACTCTCTCTATCTCTTCGTCTGTCAGCCCTTCTTTCACAGAAACAGCACTTTCCCCAGAAATGGAAGGACAGTTATGATACTTTTAGTGGGACACAATAGCAGAGAAAGCACTCAACAGCATTGTGAAGGGAAGAAAAAGTATCTTCACCAGTCCTTGTCCTCAGATGAAATTAAATGATAGAAGAGGAGTGGGGAGGTGTGAGAGAGAGGCCAAAATATGAAACAAGAATGAAAGAGA